CCTCACCAGAAGCAGATGCCATCACAATGTTTCCTGTAAAGCTTGCAAAACTGTGAGTCAATTAAACCTCTTTTCCCCAGCCTCAAGTATTTCTTTATAGCAATACAAGAATGGCTTAACACATGAGGTAGTGTCTTTTTGAGTACTCTATCCAGAAGCCTGCATGTTATAAAGTTTTTCCCACTCTGGCAGGTGAGAAGATAAACTATTTCTATCCCTTTGTGAGTTCTGGGGTTGTTCCACCCACTCCTTTTCGTTGGCTGTTTTTCCAGGCTTGGGTGGTTTCCTTACACACTTATGCTGATCAGAATTCAGCTGAAGACTCAACAGGACCCTTGGCAGATTTCCAGAACTCACTCTCTCTCTGCAGCTCTTTCCTCTCCATGCAGCTATCTTTCTCAGGACCTCTGCTCTATGAGTTCTAGCTGTCTTGGCCTCACAGAATAATCAGCTCTGTTTCCTCAACTCTGGGAGACTGCTGGCCTCTGTTTGGGTTCCCTTTTCCTGCACTGATGTCTGGAAACTCTCTCCAAGCAGTACATTTGGGACAATTTTAGTACTTACCCCATTTCCCCCTTTCTCTAGTGTGTCAATGCCTGCACCGCCTATTGTACCGTATCCTAAAACTGTTTCTTCCATTTTATTTATTTATTTATTTTGGTTATTTAGAGTGGGAAGATAAATTTAGACCTTATTACTTTATCATGGAGTAGCAAGCCTGAAGTGATTCCTGGGTCAGTCTTGAATTAGGCTTGGAATGCTGTGTTCAGAGAGTTGGCAATCTTTCTCATGTATGTGTGTTTGTGTGACCTGTGATGAAGAGTTTGAAGGAAACTCCTCATGTTCTGTTAGTGTAAAAATTTAACAGCTGTTGCTATCATGACAATGACCAATTATGATGATGAAGATGTATCATGTGTAAAGTACCCGACATGAGGGCATCAATTAAAGAGTACCTACTCCTAGAGGCAGAATAGAATGTTGTTTTAGGACAAGACACCTAGCATCAGAAAGCGCAGTATGTAAATCCAGGCTTTGGTGGGTCCCTGGGCAAGCTGTTTAACCCCTTTGTATCTAGGTCTCCTTATTCACTGGTCTATTAATAGAAGCAGGGGTGAATGTGGGCTGTTGGAGCCACTTGAAGGGGAGAGTGCCAGGAAGTAGCTCATGAAGGGTCAGCTGGGCCCAGGGGTAGAAAGTCCCTAGAACAGATGCCATCAGCATGCCCTGCCCAGCAGTGCAGAAAGAGATGGGTGTTGCTCAATTCAGCTTTGGACATGATTCTGTAAGTAGCTCAGATGGCCCTTGAAGACAGAACCCATAGGATGGATTCTCCCAGCTCCCAGGACATGCACAGGGAGGAGTGACTCAGAGAGACTGAGAGTACTTCAAATGTCTAGTCTTTCTTCAGCATGTTGTGAGGATTGAACTTCTTTCAGGGGTCTTTGTGCAGCTTTGGCTACCTTTATCACCTCAGTGACTACCACTATCACTGATATTGCCATGGAATAAGGCACAGCCAGGCATATAGGCAGGAGCTTTGGGGCCAGACAGACCTGGACATAAGTACTAGCTTTTCTCCTCTGGCCCTGGTAAGTCAGTTTGAGTAAGTCAGCTGATGAACAGTGCCTCAGTTTAACCATCTGTAAAACAGTGATTAATAATAATAACCACCACCCAGGGATGTTATCAGTATTAAAGGAGTTAACTGACCATCAAAATAGAGCATCTCTGGAAACAATAACGACAAAAAACACCTGGGTGCGGTGGCTCATGCCTGTAATCTCAGCATTTTGGGAGGCTGAGACTGGCAAATCACTTGAGGTCGGAGTTCAAGGCCAGCCTGGCCAACGTGGTGAAACCCTGCCTCTACTAAAAATAAAAAAGTCAGCCGGGTATGCTGGCAGACACCTGTGGTCCCAGCTACTCGATGGGGGGAGTTGCTGAAGCAGGAGAATCACTTGAACCCAGGAGGCAGAGGTTGCAGTGAGCCAAGATCATGCCACTGCAGTCTAGCTTGGGCAACGGAGTGAGACTCTCTCAAAAAAAAAAAAAAAAAGACAATAATACTGGCTAATGTTTATCTCACATTTATTCTGTGCCAGGTCTTGTGAGAACTTGTGTGTGTGTGCATATATATATAAGGCTCAGAAAAATAAGACTCCATTAGTACATCTGTACATGGACTATATATATATGGTTTAACCAAGGACTCACTTCACAGCTAAGATGTGTCTTACTGGGATCACCTCATTTACTCTTTACTACAATCTATGAGGACTGACTCTGTTTCACAGTGGAGAAGATTAAGACACATAGAGGGCAAGGGAATGATCCCCAGTCACACAGCTAATAAGAGGAGGAGAAGCTGGAATCTGCACCAGCTCCAACTTTTGTTAGTATTCACTCCAGAGGGTGATTGGCAGGGAACATTTAACATAATCATTGTGCTGATCTTCCTTACCTGGAGATGAGCTGGGTTCTCTTATGCACATTGTCTGGCCCTTGGGGCATGTAACTTTGAGAACCCTGTTCCTGGACATCCTCCAGATACCCTCACACAAAAGTCCTTTGTGGTGCAGGGGTTGCTTTCATCACATGACTTTGCTTTATAGTTACTCAAATAATACTCGAATATGGGCCTGGTGTAAAAGACTCCAATAGGCTGGGCAGGTTGGCTCATACCTGCAATCCCAGAACTTTGGGAGGTCAAGGTGGGAGGATCACTTGAGCTCATGAGTTCAAGACCAGCTTGGGCAACACAGTCAGATCCTGTCTTTACAAAAAATTTAAAAAGTGGCCAGGTGGGGTGGCACATGCCTGTAGCCTTGGCTACTTGGGAGGCTGTGGTGGGAGGATCTCTAGCGCCCAGGAGATCGAGGCTGCAGTGAGCTGTGATCATACCACTGCACTCAGCCTGGGTGACACAGATTGAGACCCTGTCTCAAAAAAAAAAATAAGACTGCATTAGTACATCTGTACACAGACTACACAGGCCATTCTCCCTTCCCGGCTTACCACTGGGGTGAGATCTGGGTGTTTCCTTGTTTTCTTCAAATACATTTCTCTGTATTTAAACACACACACACACACACACACACACCCCCACCCCCCCCCCCCCCCCACCCCCACCCCCAGGTCCCACTCTGAACTTTCCTCCTTCTCCCATTAAGAACCTGTCCTGAAGAAGATTCCTTTGACTAGCACAGCAGTATAGTCTGGTCCCCTCTTTCTGTTCCATGGCCAGTGAACGCTCCCTGATATAACACAAATCTCTCATTGTTCATTTACCATCCAATGATCATTGACTGTCGATGGACATTTATAAGAGGTTTTCCCCCGATTGTTTGCCACTATCTTCCTTGTATACTAAGCTCTGTGCTATGTGTGTGTTTCTTCATTCTACATTCTTTTAAGTGGAATTGCCGGGAGAAAGAGTTCAGTCATTCAACGATCATGCAGTGAGTTCCTGCTGTGTGGTGGACACTGGGGAGACTGAGGAAACTGGACAGAAAAATGCCCCTGCCTCCATCGATGTAACATTCTAAGGGCTTACATCTAAGGATTTTTCATTTTGATAGGTGCTGCTATGATGCTATGCATCAGTGGTGCAGGAGAAGAAAAGTTTGTTGACTGGCATAGTCACCACTCATGGGGCAGGAGCTCTGTGGGTGGACTGGATGCTTAGACCTTTGCTCCCTTTAAGATCTTCAGGGTCTGGTGATAAGACTTTATCTGGGTGTGTTGTTGGGGAGAGAGGGAGAAAAAGATGGGGAAAGGCTGGTCTACTAGTAATACAGTGGAGGAAAATGGGAATACAAGTCAATTTAGTTGTGTGGAAGGGCGGCTGGGTACAGTTAGAAATGCAGTCTTGGCTGAGCTCGGTCGTTCACGCCTGTAATCCCAGCACTTTGGGAGGCTGAGGTGTGCAGATCACCTGAGGTGGGAGTTCCAGACTAGACTGGCCAATATGGTAAAACCCCATCCTTACTAAAAATACAAAAATTAGCGTGAGTGGTAGCATGCGCCTGTAGTCCCAGCTTCTTGGGAGGCTGAGGCACAAAAATCACTTGAACCTGGGAGGCAGAAGTTGCAGTGAGCCGAGTTCGGTCACTGCACTGCAGCCTTGGGTGACAGAGCGAGACTCTGTCTCAAAAACAAAACAAAAAGAAAGAAAAAGAAAAAAAAAAAAAGTGTTGGGCCCCACCTCAGACCCACTGAATCAGAAACTGAAAGGTGAGGCCCCATAGCAATCTGTGTTTTAACAACCTCTCTAGGTGATTCTTGACGCACACTAAAGTTTGGTAACCATCCCAGTAATTAACAGGACCTAAGTATGAAATAGCTGGCCCCTCTTGGGTCTCACGTCCTGTTAGTGTGCAGGTGAGGGGGAGGAGGGGAGATGAGGTGTGGCGGATAGAACACACCATTGTGGGTACCAAAATGAACACACCATTATGTGAGATACTACAGGGGAAGGGAGGTTCTATTTCATAAGAATACAAGTACTGTGTGTGGAGGGACAATAAAGCCCACCCCCGCCCACCAATGAGATTCTCCCAGCTCCCAGGACACGCATAGGGATAAGTGACTCAGTGAGACTGAGAGTACTTCAAATGTACTTCAGAATGGGACTCCATTTGTAGGTGTTTAGTTTCATGCTAAATGCCACATACACTGAAACACTGAGGAAGCAGGTAGATCCCAGAAGAGACAAATTTTTCCTAAAAACAGGAGAGTCCAGGCTGTCTGAGTCAGCATAGTAGGAAAGTCCTTTCTGCTTTAACTCTTAGAAAAAAGTAATATGAAGTATTCTGAAATCAACCAATCAATTTATTTCTATTCTTCTGTTCCTGGATTCCCACGAACCCACTGTTCTACTATTGTATTGCTCAGTGGGAGCTATCACTATATTTTGTAGAATGGAAGCTGCCATGATTTGTGAATCACAAATAAAAGCCAATTGGATCTATTAAAAAAAAAAAGAAAGAAAAGGAGCTGCCACGTCTGAGACCTGGAGCAACCACAGCCGCAGTCATGGTGTCAGTAATTAACACTGTGGATACCTCCCATGAGGACATGATTCATGACGCCCAGATGGACTACTATGGCACCCGCCTGGCAACCTGCTCATCAGACAGGTCTGTCAAAATCTTCGATGTGCGCAATGGAGGGCAGATCCTCATCACCGACCTCAGGGGTCATGAGGGTCCTGTGTGGCAAGTGGCCTGGGCTCACCCCATGTATGGCAACATCCTGGCATTGTGCTCCTATGACTGGAAAGTCATTATCTGGAGAGAGGAAAATGGCACCTGCGAGAAGAGCCACGAGCACATGGGACACGACTCCTCAGTGAACTCAGTGTGCCTGATCCTGGCCTGTGGGAGCTCAGATGGGGCCATCTCCCTGCTGACTTACACCGGGAAAGTCAATGGGAAGTAAAGAAGATCAACAACGCTCACACCATTGGCTGCAATGCCGTCAGCTGGGCCCCTGCTGTTGTACCTGGAAGCCTCATAGACCAGCCATCGGGGCAGAAACCCAATTACATCAAGAAGTTTGCATCAGGTGGCTTTGACAACCTCATCAAGCTGTGGAAGGAGGAGGAGGATGGCCAGTGGAAGGAGGAGCAAAAGCTGGAAGCGCACAGTGACTGGGTTTGAGACGTGGCCTGGGCTCCCTCCATCGGCCTGCCCACCAGCACCATCACCAGCTGCTCCCAGGATGGTCGTGTGTTCATTTGGACCTGTGATGATGCCTCAGGCAATACATGGTCCCCCAAATTGCTGCACAAGTTCAATGATGTGGTGTGGCATGTGAGCTGGTCCATCACAGCCAACATCCTGGCCGTCTCCGGTGGAGACAATAAGGTGACCCTGTGGAAAGAGTCGGTTGATGGGCAGTGGGTGTGCATCAGTGATGTCAACAAGGGCCAGGGCTCCGTGTCGGCGTCAGTCACAGAGGGCCAGCAGAAAAAAAAAAGAAAAAGAAAAAGAAAAAAAAACACCACACTGCCACCTACATCTCTATACACAAAGGCAGCTCTTAGCACACAGTTTAGCTTCTTAAGGGTTGCAACAAAAGACCCCAGCAAGTTAAAGGCAGGAAAGACAAAGAAACATACTCTAAGAGGTCAATCTAGGAAACCTGCAAAACTCGCAAAACTGCACACTAAAGTTTGGGAACCATCAGAGTAATTCACAGGACCTAAGTATGAAATAGCTGGCCCCTCTTGGGTCTCACCTCCTGTTAGTGTGCAGGTGGGCGGGGGGAGGAGGGGAGATGAGGTGTGGAGGATGGAACACACCATTGTGGGTACCAGAAATGAACATACCATTATGCAAGATACCACAGGGGAAGGTAGGTTCTATTTCATAAGAATACAAGTACTGTGCGTGGAGGGACAATAAAGCCCACCCCCACCCACCAATGAGATCAGCCCCACTTTTTGACAGTAGGGAGAGTGCCATGGCCAGCACCCCATGTGGCAATCTGTCCTCCTGGTTTCCACCCAGCCCCAAGAGGACACCCATTCTCCAACTTCTTGGAGATCCCTCTAGTCCCATTTTTGACCACATCCATCTCTGTTCTACAGATTTGAATAAACCAAGAGCCTGCAAAGGGGCAGTCAATCTGTTGTGGGACGAGGAAGGTGTTGAATCAAGGACTGCTCTGGGAAGCGGTGGGAAGTAAAAAAGTTCTTCTTTAAAGTTTCCCTTCTTGGGGCCAGGCGCAGTGGCTCAAGCCTGTAATCCCAGCACTTTGGGAGGCCGAGGCGGGTGGATCAAGATATCAAGAGATCGAGACCATCCTGGCCAACATGGTGAAACCCCGTCTCTACTAAAAATACAAAAATTAGCTGGGCATGGTGGTGTGCGCCTGTAGTCCCAGCTACTTGGGAGGCTGAGGCAGGATAATTGCTTGAACCCGGGAGGCGGAGGTTGCAGTGAGCTGAGATTGTGCCACTGCACTCCAGCCTGGTGTCTAGTGGCAGAGTGAGACTCTGTCTCAAAAAAAAAGAAAAAGAAAGGTTCCTTTCTTGTTAAATAATAAATTTGCTAATAACTCTGTTAAGCCCTATCCTACATAGCTGTTAGACAAGCCATGCTTACAGACACTTAGTATATTCTATGTCCTTGTACTTTAACCAAGATATCTGTGCTGGAGGTACTCACAGGCATGTCCCCGCTTGCATCCTATGCCCCTTACCTGTTTAGAAAAGTTTTAAGTTGTTAGCCAATCGAGTTTTAGTTTAGATTGAGATCTGGCTCCAACCAATGGAGATCAGACATAGCAGTAAGGACAACCCCAAATGCTTAAGGGATAAATATGTCTGATTTTCCTTTGTTCGTTGTACTCTTGTGGGAAGATGGCTAGTGAGGGTATCCTTCCTGCAGTGCAGGAAGTAAAAAAGTAAAAATTGCTTTGCTGAGAGATCCTTTGTCTCAGTGCTGATTTTTCTTCGTGGCACCAAGCATCTGTTTCCAACAGAAGTTCACCTGGAGACTGCTAGGTCTGGCTCTCACAGGGTACAGTGGGACACACTTGCAAAGCCCAGTCCCTGGGCTCATGCACGGTCAGGCACAGTGGTTGATGGGTCAGAGTTTGTAGAGCAGAGCCTGGGCTTTAAGGACTGGATGATAAGTGGGATCCAGTCTTCAAGACTTGGACTGCTATTGAGTATGAGGCTGAAGATGCTTCCCAAGTCACAGGCAGGGCTTAGTGAGACCACTTGCAAGGCGTCATCTGGTGCTCAGTGCACGGGGCTCTAAGTTTCAGGTAATCACAGATCTGACTTGCAGTATCCTAAGCACTTCTTTCTTATGTGCTATCTCATTTAATCCCCACTAGCACCCTTGGAAGAAAGCCCTGTTGCCTCTGTCACTGATGAAGACACTGAAGCACCAAGAAGGTAGATCCCTGGCTGGGGCCCTCCAGCCAGGGTGGGACAGAGCTGGGGCCAGATGCCAACACCTAGAGGACCGCAGTCGGCGCACCCCCAGCGCTAACACTACCCTTGTCCTTCTCACGGTCCTTTCTCTGTCCTCCCATCTCCTGGGGTGACACCCCAGCACCTCCTTCAGGAATCCCACTCTGCCTCCTCCAGCCCTAGGTGAATTGCCCTGGACTCTCAGCCTGGGTCTGGAGTTTCATCTGCATCTGTCTGAGAGAGTTCCAGTTCTGCCCTAACAGGGATGTTGTGACAGAACCCTGTGTGGGGGCAGGAGCACTTTCAGGGAGCAGGGAGGGTCCTGAGGGGGTCCTCTGAGGTAGGCCTACGTGCCAGGTGAGAGAACCAAAGTGGACATGAGAGGGTGTAACTGAGGACCCATGACTAGGGTTGGGGTAGGGAGATAAAGAGGTCTGTGGGGTGGAAAGGGAGCCCTGGTGGCCCACAAGGGTGGGAAGCTGGGGAGAGAGAGGAGGCGTGGCAGCTGCCAATAGGAGAGGAGGTTTGGGGTAAGGACCAGGATGTTCAGAAGGACCATAATAGGGGTTGCTGTTGGCAGGGTGAAAGGAAGACCTCTACTCTCTCTTCAAGATCCAGTACCCCACAGTAGGTGCTGAGAGATGGCAAAGATGACGGGGTCCAGGGGTCTCCCACTGTGTTCTTGGATTTACCCTGAAGCCCCCATGGGGCAGGATAGAAAAGTCACCAGGACCAAAGGTGATCAGGGTTGGTCAGACGATGGCCATTCCTGGGACCCAGATATGAGAGCTCATTCTCTGAACCCCTCAATCCCAGAGGGTCCTCTCCATCCCTGGTGTGAACCTGCCTTCCTCATGACAAAAAGGTGGTGACTGCAGACTGTGGGAAACCACAAGACCCAAGGCCTCTTCCTAACAGGGTTGGATGGTACAGAGGCTCAGCATCACACAGCAGCCCTGAGCTGATTCTTTGTGGGTATGTGTCCCAGGGTGCAGCCGGTAAGCTCTTTGTGGGTTGGTGTGTGAGGTCCTTGAGTTGTTAGGAGCTGTTACCTCGAGGAAGAAATTCTCTGAGCTGGTTGGGTGGTCTGTGTCCTGAGGTGTGGCATCTTTGAGCTGTTTGGTGGTTGGTGTCTAGGGTGAGAGGTCTCTGAACTGTTTGTGGGCACTGTCCTAAGGCATGAGGTCTCTTTGAATATTTGTGGGAGGTCTTTGTCCAGAGAGTTATGTCTCCGAGCTGCTCATATGTCAGGATATTTTTGTGAGTAAGGCAGGATGGCCCTTTCTTTCACAGGGATAGAACCAGGTGCCCTGGTATCACAGAGATGAAAACATAGGATCCTTATCCTCAGGGAGGGCAAGTCTTCAGTGTAGCATGTAGGAGCCTGTGCTACAAATACTAATCACAATGTCTGCAGACATTAATTCCATCCTTGCTTGGCCCCTGTGACAAACCCATGTAACCCATGTTAACTCAATCTGCCAAATTGCCAATGAGGAGGTCACCATTTACAGATGAGGAGGTTGAAGCCTGGTGAGGGTGGTGCCTGTACACACAGTTCTCATGAGGAGGGAGGAACTGGCTGTAAACTTTGACTCACTGGAGGAGTCAGGGAAAGGCTCAGGCACAGCTGGGGTCGGTGGGGGATGACAAGGAAAGGGTAAAGGGAGAGGTTTGCCCAGGGCCTCAAGGGCCCTGTCACTGACTCAGTGGCAGGATGTTCGCCTCTCTGTCTCTCTGTGGTACACCCTGCTTGGTAATGGATGTCCAGAATGCAATACTCACATTACCTGTGGAAGTGGTAGTGTGAGGTAAAGAGTATCCACACAGGTGGAGAAATATCACAGATTCATCTGCTAGGCCATTGGCATGAGGCCAATGGATGAATTTCAAGGGGTAAGGAGAGGCAGGAATCTCCACATTTACCCACAGCAAATGTAGAGATTCGTGCCTCTCCTTCCCCCTTGAAAGAATTTTTTTCAGGCCAGGCACAGTGGCTCATGCTTATAATCCCAGCACTTTTAGGAGGCCAAGGCAGGCAGATGGCTTGAGCTCAGGAGTTCAAAACCATCTTGGGCAACATGGCAAAACTCTGTCTTTACAAAACATACAAAAAAATCAGACCAGGCGCAGTGGCTCACGCCTATAATCCCAGCACTTTGGGAGGCCAAGGTGAGTGGATCACTTGAGGCCCGGAGTTTCAGACCAGCCCGGCCAACATTGCGAAACCCTGTCTCTACTAAAAATAAAAAAATTAGCTGGGCGTGGTGGCACACACCTGTAATTCCAGCTACTTAGGAGGCTGAGGCATGAGAATCGCTTGAGCCTACGAGGTGGAGTTTGCAGTGGGCCAAGATCACACCACTGCACTCCAGCCTGGGTGACAGAGGGAAATTTTGTCTCAAAAAAACCAAAACCAAAACCAAACAATCAGCTGGGCATGGTGGTGTGCATCTATGGTCCCAGCTACTTGGGAGGCTGAGGTAGGAGGATTGCTTGAGCCCAGGAGGTTGAGGCTGCTGTGAGCTGTGATAGTGCCACTGCACTGCAGCCTGGGTGACAGAGCGAGACCCTGTCTCAAAAAAAAAAAAAAAAAGTTTTTTTCAGCACTGAGAGTCAGCAGGAGGGCAGTCAAGGACTGGAGGGAGTATGGGGACTCTGTATACAGCATGAGCCTCCCCATAATTGGAACATGTCCTTTTCCTGATGAGTAGAGGGTCCCAATGTGTGTCAAGGAAGTGGGGTGGGTCTTTCCTCATAACTGAGGCCCAGGCCAACAGCAGCTGAGTCAATCCCTTGTCAAGTTTCTGGGGAGAGGCTTCCTTTCCTCTGCAGCGAGAGGCACAGCACCTAGTAGCATACATAGGGGTCCAGAGCTGTGGGTCTAATTCAGCAGGGACAGCCAGTTGCCAGAAATAGTTTCTCTGTCCTTGTCTCTCTAATACTCTTTCTTTCCCTCTTGTCTTCTCTGTGTCTGTTACTTTTTGTTTCTCTCTCAGACATGGGGCTGGGTGTGACCTCACTCATGCTCTGAGGGCCCTTGATCAGCTTCTTCTAATATCCTCTGACATGGATTTTTCTGGGGAGCAGTTGGAAAGATATCTTCCAAGTCTAAGGGATTATCCAGGAAAGGCATATTCAGCTACAGAGGGGCTGGGGAAGGAGTTCCTGGGAAAAAACAGGAGCTCCTCCCTATACTTTGAGTGATCTGAGCCTCTGGCCTTTGAAAGAAGCATAGGAGCTTCTCTGCTAAAAACTTTCCCATGGCTCACTCAGAGTAAGTCAAAGTCCTTGCCATGGCCCAGAAGGTTCTGTATAATCTGGTACTCATTACCTTTCTGAGCTCATCTCCCACCTCCCCCAGCAACACTGAGCTCCTCACTGTGTCTCACACATGCTAGGCAGAGTTCCACCTCAGCGTCTGGTTCTTACCTCTGCCCAGAATGCTTCTCCCAGATATTCATCTCCTATTGAAATGTCAATTTCACATTCTCAGAAAGATCTTCTTAGGCTACTCTTTCTAGATGGGATCCTCCCTCTTCTATTTCACTACCCTGACTTAATTTTCATTACAGCAATTAACACCACCTGACAAATTACATGCTTAGGTTTTTGTGCCATATGATCCCAATAGAATGTAAGCTCCATGAGGGCAAGTTTTTGTCTCTTTCCACACAGTTGTATTCCTAGCACCTATAACAGTGCCCAGCACATAATTTGGACAGAATTAATAAATTAGCAAATGAATAAACAAATGCAAACTTCTAGTGAGACACATAGCTAGACAGGTTGAGGATTCTGCTAGGGAACATATTCAGGGGTGACAGGATTTATTTGACCTACTCATTCTCCTTGGAGGCCCCTGAGAAATGGCCCTTTCCCTAACAGAGCTTGAAGATCCTGCTGTCCCTCTCACCCATTACTGACAGTCAAGAATAGACACCTGGCCCGCATCAGGCCTTCTGACCCTAGTCAGGAGTTCCATCCCTCCTGCCCCGGGGAACTGTGGCTGGGTTCCCAGGCCAGCAGGCCCCCCATTAGACCTACTCTGCATTACCCAGGGAGGCACAAGTGAGCACAATGCCCAGCATGCAGTAAATGTTTGATGGTGGACACTGCAGGAAGGTACTGGAAGGCTACTGCTTAGGAACGCTTTTCTCTTGTTCAAGATTGCAGTGGGTATGCAGTCAGTTTTTGTCCTGACTATGCCCTCTCATCCTTAAAGGGGCAGCCCAGAATGGTCGACGGGCATCTGCATCACCTAGCTGTTCCTTGTTTGCACCACCAAGGGGCGCGCGGGATGGAACAGTTCAATCCTGGGACGTACCACTGAGGAGCGCAGAGGAAGGACAGTCCACTCCGCCTGTCCATTTTGGAATAATCTCTTGTGTGTGACAGGACTAAGGGTCTCTTTAAACCCACGTGGAGAATCCACCACAGTTCCCGCCCCGTTAGGTACTTCCTTACTCTCACCACTCGGTTCTCCCAGCCCGTTCGAACCTGGTGCAGCCATCATTTTCACTTCACCTCCACCTCTTCGTTTCTACATAGTCAAATCCCGCCGGGGACGACAAAGGGGCAAGCGATTGGCTTCGAGATTTAAAGGGCGGGGTCGAGGGCCGTCCCGGGCGGTGATTGGTCACTGCGTGAGCGCCGGACTAAGCTTTTCCGGGGCGCGCAGTGGCTCCGGATGGACCGGCTAGGCCCTGCCTCCCTCGTCCCGTCCCTGGTTCCCATTGGCCTTCAGTTTGGGACAGGCATGTTGATTGCAGAGCTGGAGTTCAGACAGCTGGAGCGAGGAGGGTGTGTGGCTTTTTAGAGTAGAGTTCTTTGGCCTACTCACCAACCGACTGTCCGAAAGGGGCTGGAGATGCCACCCCAGCAAGGTTTGCACTAGTCATTTGCTTCACGTGAGCTCTTTCATTCTTGTTTACCCTTAACTCTTTCAGTCTTGTTTACCCTTAACTCCGTCACAAGCCTAGTCTGGTGCTTTTGGCACCGCACCATCATTCCTCCCGCTACACTCAATGTCCAGGGAGTGGTCTCTGAGCTTGTTTGGTGTTTGCCTGGGAAGTAAAGCGGGTAAGGTAGTTTTGGGGATGTATATCTTTAGGTATGACATCTCAGATGCAGTTTGGGTATATTTGATCACTCTGGACCGTTTGGGGACCAGATTGTGTCTGAGTGGGATATTTTGTCTGAGTGGATTTTGTGTGCCACCGTATGAGGTTTCTTAGGCTTTGTGTGCCTATATGTCTGGATGTCCCTTCTTTTCTTCTTTTCTCTTGTTTGTTTCCAGGTAGAGTCTCCCTCTGTCACCCAGGGTGGAGTTCAGTGGCTGATCATGGCTCACTGCAGCCTCATACTCCTGGGCTCTAGCGATCCTTCTGCTTCAGCCTCCCGAGTAGCTGGGACTATAGGTGTGCACCACCATATTCAGCTGTTTTTAATTTTGTAGAGACGGGGTCTTCCTATGTTGATCAGGCTGGTTTTGAACTCCTGGCCTCAACTGATCCTCCCACCTCGGTCTCTCAAAGTGCTGGGATTACAGACATGAGCCACCATGCCTGGCCTGGGTGTGCATCTTCTGAGCTTTTCGGGCATTTGTGTCCCTGGGTGTGAGAGCTCTATGTAGGTTTCTGCACCCCAGGATGTGAATGAAGTCTCAGAGCCGTTTGCAATTCTGGGTCCCAAGTTGTGATGTTTCTGAGCTGGTGTTGGTGGGGACAATTTTGCTTAAGGTGTAAAGTATCTGAGCTGTTCGGAGGAGAGGGGTCTCTGCCCAGAATGTAGGTTCTCTGATTTGTCTGGGGACTTTATCTTAAGATGATGTGATGTTTCTGAGTTATTCGAACTTCTGTTTCTGTTTTGTATTAGATTGGGAGGTGTCTGAATGGTTTGAGGGGCCTCTCTCTAGAGTGTGAGACATGTGAATAGTTTTAATTTGTTTCCCAGGAGTGAGAACTTTGGTCTGTTGTGTGTGGGGGTTTTGGCACAGCATGTGTGCTCTCTGTTCTGTTTGGGGGTCTGTGTCAAGTTGTGAGGTCTCTGTGCAGGGATTTTGAAGTCTGTTTCAGGTTGTGAGATTAGTGAACTGTTTGTGGTGTCTTTGCGTATCTGAGCTGTTTGGGGTTCTGTGTCTCAGGAGTGAAATTTCTTACTTTTTTGGTTGCAAGAGCTCTGTCCGGGAACTCTGGGTTTTGGAGGCTGGCAGACATGATTTCAAAGCCTGGAGCCCCCAAGTCCTGATTGTGTGACATTGGGCAAGTCACTTGTCTCCTTGAACCAAGTATGTATCATAATCAGTACAATGGGGCCAATATCCATCTTGGAGGGCATCTATGCATCTTAGCAATGTGTATAAAGGGCCCCACTACAACCGTCCTTCAACAAGAATTTTCTGAACATCTGCTGTATGTCTGAGTACTGTTCTAGATTCTGTGGATATAACAGAAACCAAAAATAACAACATTCCTGATTTCATAGAGTTGGTCAGTAAATATGTAGCACATCACAGGGTGGTAAGTGCTACATAGAAAGTTAAGAAAGGGGCTGGGTGGTGGCTCATGCCTGTAATCCCAGCACTTTGGGAGGCTGAGGTGGGCAGACCACCTGAGGTCAGGAGTGCGAGACCGGCCAACATGGTGAAACCCCATCTCTACTAGAAATACAAAAACTAGCTGGACATGGTGGCAGGTGCCTGGTAGGCCAATTGGGAGGCTAAGGCATGAGAATTGCTTGAACCCGGGAGGGAGAGGTTGCAATGAGCCAAGGGTGCGCCATTGCACTCCAGCCTGGGTGACAGAGTGAGATTCTGTCTCAAAAAAAAAAGAAAGAAAAAAGAAAAGTTAAGACAGGGTCAGGGAAATGGCTAAGTGGGCAGGATGTTATTTTATTCAGGCTGTGTGGAGAAGGCATCCCTGGAGAGGTGATGACTGAGTAGAGACCTGGAGGCAGTGAGGAGCAAGCCTTGCGATTACCTGAGGGAAGAGCTTTCCAGGCAGAAGGAACAGCAAGTGCAACAGCCCTGGAGCAGGGGAAGTGCCTGGTGGGTCCGGGATCTCAAGGATGTGTGATGGTAAAGAAAGCCTCATCCCAGGTTTTGACACGTAGCACTCACTACAGGTGCCCAGTGTCCCCATCTCTATTTCTCCCACAACCTGGGAGGAAGGTAGGGTTCTCTCATGTCACAGATGAAGGAACTGAGGCTCAGAGAAATGCCCTGAGCCTGTTTTCCTGCTCACACCTGAAATTCCTAAAAGAGGCATGACCTATTGTACCACAGGAGACACAGGGCTTGAGCCCCACAGCTGGAGGGAAGGTGCTATCCACACTGAAAGTAAGCCAGCCAGCCAGTAGAAATGAGAAATAATAATACGGGAACCATGGCCAGCATGACGTTTCTACTTCTGATGGAGGGCAGGACTTTAGGAATGAGAAGGGAACTGAGGTGGAAGAGACAGGCAGAAAGGGAAGATGGGGGACATGAGGAAAAACACGCTGATTGAGAAGGGACCCTGGGGACTTCTGAGATGGTGATGGACCTTAAACTTTATGGTTATTACATGAATGTGCAACTTATTGTCATTAAAACATACACTGATGTTTTATACACTCTCGGGCACAAAAAGAAACCCTCACAAGTGAAGCAGAGTGCAGTGGGAAGTGGGAGTAGCGTGAGTGTCCGTGACTCCTGCACACAGGCTTGCAGTGCCCCCGGCCTCCTGGTGTGGACCACGTAGTGTAGGCGGCCTCCTTCCTGCAGAATCTCCCCTGGCTCCAGGTCCTGCCTTCTATCCTAGAGGCTCCCTCAGGCCTGTTTGTGGAGATCGTCTGGTGGGGAATCCTCTATCCTGTGCTCCTGACACCAGCCATAGAGAGGGGCCATCGTCTCTCAGGGGATGGACAGGACCTGTTCATTTTGTCCTCAGATGTTGGGGCCCATCACCCCTCAGGCCTCATTCACACCCACAATAGCCTGGGACACCTGGGCTTTGGGGCCTGGCAGGCTTCATAAAAGCCTGGAACCCCAAGCCCTGGTGGTGTGACCTTGGGCAAATCACCTGTCCTTGACCAGCCTCAGTTCCCCATTTATAAAGGGGGCTAATGCCTGCCAGGTAGGGTAGGTGTGGGCTTTGGGGAAAACGTGTGTACTGCCCTCCTCCTGAGCCCATGTTAGACAGGTCTATTAGTCGAGGCAGAGTAGTATGGTGGACAGGGGCAGGGGCTGGACTGACACTGGCTGGGACTAAATTGCCCCGGTGACATGGTGGGCAAGTGGCTTCAGTTCTCTGTGCCTCCCTTTGCTTGTCTGTCATCAGGGTAATAACTTTTCCTCCTCACAGGGTTATGTGAAGGAGAGGTGAGGTGACTGGTCAGTCACCGAGAGCAGTGCTGGGCACAGGGCAAGACTGAGTACGTGCCCAGTGGCATCCCCCTGGCTGGAAGAGGTTCTAGGGAGAATGACATGGATGGGTTTGGGGACACTATTCTGCCCACCACATACCCTTTTCTTTGGCAAGCCTTGATGGTAACTGTTATTGTCCCCGGACTGGGGCCACAGAGGTAGACAGATGGACCCAGACAGTGAGTGCTCACCCTGTGGCGGAGAACAGCATGTCTCAGGCAGTTCACAGAGTGAGGCTTTTCATATCACTATTGTGATGGTTAATTTTAGGTGTCTGCTTGATGGAGTTAAGAAAAACCCAGATAGCTGGCAAACCGTTATCTCCGGATGTGTCTGTGAGGTGTTTCCGGAAGAGACTGGCCTTTGAATCAGTGGACCGAGGGAGGAAGATCCACGTGGGTGGGCATTGTCCGATCCCTCGTGGGCACAGGTACAACAAGAAGGCTGTCTTCTGGAGTTGGGACACCCCATCTTCTCCTGCCCTTGGACATCAGAACTCCAGGTTTTCAGGCCTTACAGACTCCGTGACTAACACCCCTGGCTCTGCCGGTTCTCGGGCCTTTGGACTCAGACTGAATCATACCGTCCACCTTCCCGGCTCTCCAGCTTGCAGACGGAAGTGGCGGGATTTCTCAGCCTCCACAGTCACATGAGCCAATTCCCATAGCAAGTCCCCTCTTATATATTTATATCTAGATATCCCATTGGTTCTATTTCTCAGGAGAACCCTGACTAATACAATCATTCATACGAAAACTATCAGCATTCCCCTCAGCGTGATTCTGTACCAGACACTGGCTGACCACCTAACCTGAATCCTGCTTTTCTCAGCCAGCTCCGCAACTATCAACTCTACTTCTATCACCCATTCACAGGTGAGGGCCTTCTGTATTCTCATCAGCTCCAGCTCTTAGCACAGTCCTTTGCAGAGGACTCCCTGGTACTCTTCTTCCTCCTCCTCCTTGTGACCAGGACCAGCATCTTTTATTTCTTTTCTTTTTTTTGAGACAGTCTCACTCTTGCCCACTCTGGAGTGCAGTGATGCGATCTTGGCTCACTGCAACCTGCGCCTCCCAGGTTCAAGTGATTCTTCTGCATCAGTCTCCTCAGTAGCTGGGATTACAGGCATGTGCCACCATGCCTGGCTAATTTTTGTATTTTTAGTAGCGATGGGGTTTCTCCATGATGACCAGGTTGGTCTGAAACTCCTGACCTCAAGTGATCCACCTGCCTCGAGCTCACAAAGTGCTGGGATTATAGGCATGAGCCACCGTTCCTGGCCAGAGCCAGCATCATAGTCTCACAATGGTCCCTGCTCTCTCTGTCGTCAACCCTCAGCCCTGCTGTCACCCACCCACATCCTACAACCCCTCTACTTCCTCTTCTCAGTGTCTATTGCCCAGGATGAGACCAAGTCCAAACCTGAGCTTCCTGCTAAGTCAAAGTGACCTTTTCCTTTCAGTCAGGGAACCCTGACAG